TACTGAACTAATTATTAATTACTTTAAAGAAATTAATCATTTACCTTTTTGGAGATTCTGAAAGTGGTTCCATAAGATCCACCAAATCTCCTTCTTTTCTTTTTCTTTTATCATTCCGACTTAACACCATTTTTTAGTTTTATTAAAAAATGTTTCTGTCAATTAGTAATAAAAAATTGATAGAAATATGTTTATTAATACACAAAATAAAAGAATGAAACTTTTACCTGATCAATATTTTCATTTTTAGAAAAATTACAAACTAAAAAATTAAGAAATATTTAGAAACATTATTTTACAAGAAACGGTATAACAATCTCGTCATAACTAAAAAATATTTAATATAGGAAAAATTCAGAGAGAAAACGTGGAATTTAAGAGTTTATGTTCTTTTAAGGCTTTTTAAAATTTTTAAGTATTTTTCATTCAATGCAAATAGATAAAAGTCAATGATATGCACAATCACCAAACATCTGTTCCTCACACTGAACGAACGATTGTTTATTGTGTCAAGTAAGATTAAATACCACGTTCTGATCTATGGTTTAGATATACATAGATATGCACTATAAAATGATATTGATTTCTTAAGCTTTACCCACATTGCATATAGTGTGGTTCACTTTACATTAAACGTTAAGCTCATAAGGAAAATATATAGCAAAGTATATATGAAAGAAATTACTACCTATTTTCTTAAAATACTGAAGATATATATCATTAAAATTATTTATTAATTATTTGCTTAAAGAATTTAAATAGAGGAAAAATTAAAAAGTAACATTTAAATAAATCAATTTTAAATAATCAATATTTGTTTTCATGGAATGTTCATGAAACATATGTCGCGCCATCTGTATACGTTCATAAGAATATTTTGTTACCTTTTTCGTGTTTACACTTCAAAACTATTAAAACTATATATATGGAATACATATTTAGATATTACTCATACCTTATCTAAATAATTAGTGATCAATTTATTATTGTTTTATTAAGGTAGGCAAAACTATGGCATACTGTGCATTTAGATAAACGCTAATAACAAATTATCACAATTCGTCATACTGTAACTCAAAGAAACAGGAATGTTGTTTGCGATATTATATTTCACAATCAATTCATGTATATTGACAATATAGTAACGACGGCAATGTAACTTAATTAGATGTTGCAATTGTATATGTTTAAAGTTTAATTAGGTTTTAATAATTTTATGAGGCAAATCAGCTTATTGTTATTAATTGAATATTTAAGCTCTTGCCAATACTTTTATAATTTATTATTTTTAAACTATTAAATTCACAAAACTATATAAGTTTGTGTGATTTATTTAAAAACATATAAATTACGTTATTTACCTCATGTACATTTTGTTGGAATTAAAATTTTTGATTATATGTATTTAGGAATGATAGTAAATATGAGTTAACAATTTCATTATTATTACTTATTTTTCTGAAGTTATATAATCATGTTTAATTATAGGTAGCCTACTTATAAATAATACATCATGTATAAAACTGAACCACCACCAGTTTATGAAGTACCTCCATCTTCACCACCTAGTTATTCACAAGCAACCGGTGGTGTTCCACCTGCTAGTCCTTTTACACCTGCAGAAACTTGTATGCATTATTTATGATTTGTAATAATGTATTTCTGCAATGTTATTAAACTATTTAACAATCAATCACATGTAAAAGGATTATTGTTATTATAGATGCAAGTGGACCAACTATAGTAACAACAATTGTTCCACTTGGACCAGGATCAACACATACAATTTGTCCACGTTGTTATGCAGAAATTGATACTACAACCAAGACAGAACCTGGTATGATTGCTTACATATCTGGAGTTGTGATTGCATTAATGGGGTACATATTAAAATCTTTTTTAGTTAACAATTCTTTATTTTTCATATGTCATATTTGTATTACATTTTATATTATTTTTAACAGATGTTGGCTGGGCTGCTGTTTGATTCCATGCTGTATTGATGAATGTATGGATGTTCATCACAGTTGCCCTAATTGTACAGCTTATTTGGGACGGTATAGGAGATAAAGCAACATGATATTAGTATCTATTGTGTTTCATTTTGAAAACATTAAAAACGTGCCTTATGTTCTGATATATGCATATAGTAAACATAAAAATATTTTTAATGTTCAGGATACAAGCAAACAGCTTTAAACCTTTTTCGTGAAAAAATTTATGACAAGTATAATGCACAATGCAAGATTGCACATGATATTAAAGAGGTGTTTAATATTCACTTTCATAAATGAAATCACCATTTAAAATGTACATGGAATCTCAATATTAAATGATAAAGTATTCCAAAAATTAAGTTACCTATTTTACTCTTGCATTTTTTTATTCAAAGAGTGTAAAGTAATAGAGCTGAATGTACAAATAAATGCAAATTTTATCGGTAATAAGTTCTGTTTGCATTAAATATCGCATAATACAATATTTAATATGTAATATATACAAACTATTGTATATTAAGTCATTTCGAAAGTATTTTCAACTGCTTTATATGTAACATATGTGCAAAGTGCTGTATATTAAGTCATTTTAAAAGTATTTTCAGCATATTTTTACTGCATATATAAATGTTATATATCTCTTTATTTAATTTGCATTAACAACTGAGAGCAGTTACTACTATA